ACAAATAAGAAGAAATGGACTAGAATCCAGTTGATGCCTAAGTTAATGAATAAAATTGATCAAATGTAGAAATACAAGAAATTTGAGTATAGAATGTAATTTTTCCCTCCTCTGAGTCTAAATAATGATTATGAAATCCTTCGTTAGTCAATGGGTATCATTGATATAAGTTAATGAATAAAATTGATCAAATGTAGAAATACAAGAAATTTGAGTATAGAATGTAATTTTTCCCTCCTCCGAGTCTAAATAATGATTATGAAATCCTTCGTTAGTCAATGGGTATCATTGATGTGATTAAAATGAATGAGAGAAAGAAGTTAGGGGCATGTCATTATCTCCCCAAAAGAGTCTTTCATAAATTAATATGATTTATTTTGTTGGAAGACTAAGCGAGATTTAAATGGAAAACTCAGAATGGATGAATACACTTTCCCCAACCGTTTAGAATGCAGGACATAGCGACGTGGGCGACATCTACCTTGATTAGTTGTTATTAGCAGTTACAACATCCACAGATGCATCATAGAAAAGCATGGCGAGTCATAGGAGCCCTTATTAAGAGGGGGGTGAATTCATTCGATAAGCAATGTAGGTTGGTATTCACTTTTTGTTTGAAGGCTGCCATGCCAACACGGAAGGAAGAGGGCCTTTCCAGGATGTAACGCTTACTCACTTACTTACGCCTAGCACTCTGCTAGGATAAGCAGTGTGATAAGATGGATATTGAATGACTGAGTTGAGTACCCTGTTAACCTTAGCAGACACCTCAGCAGGGTTCTAGGCTTACTAGGAATACGGCCCCTGATTTAGGTGGGACATCCCACTTTCAAACCATCCATCAACCCATGTCCCTGGAAGAACTTAGCAGTTCCAATACCAGTTCTAATTCATGTTTAAACAATAATAAATACAACTATCAGTGCAAAAAATACATTCATGTTCTTTTTTAGGAGAAAAGGGAAGTATTCATTGGGCATCCCACTTTTGTAACAGATATCTAGACAACTTACTTCTACCACAGGTGACCAGATTTTTTCAGGATAAACCAGATCATTTTCAAGAAAATACCAGAATGTTAGTCCCTGCAATGGAAAAAAACCGGGACACCAGGAAGAAGAGGAAAATTAAAGCCGGGACGTCTGGTCACTATTCTGCCAAACAATTTGAGCAACTCACCTTCTCCGACAATGAGGATTCGAACGTCTTTTCGCCCCATCGGTCGCATTGCAATTGCAAAAAGACCCTAACGTCACGTATTCTTAGTCCCAGCCGGTTGGAAAAGATGACGGCTGGTGAATTCTGCCAAATCTTGTGAATTGACTAGTTTGGGGTTCCTGTAATTCATATGATGGCACTTCCGAAAGAGAGCGACAGTCGAAGATACATAGGATGACTTGGGAAGACTGGTTCTATAAGCATCTTAGGCTTCGAGCTTGCAATCTCATTCGTGAAATGTGAATTTCGGTGTCCGGCGGCGTAAAAGGCCACACATATCATCACATGGAGGCAGCCATGACAGTTTTAGTACTCAATGTCAAATCGCTTCTTCAGATGTTACAAGACATATTATTAAAAACAAAAAAGAGATAAAAGAAGACAAAAAATAATCCATGTCAAGAAAATAAAACTTTAAAGACAATAATTCTGAACCTTTGAAATGCAAAAAATAATCATTTTCTCGGCAAAATGAAGAGAGTGGGTCAGAGCAACACATGGCATCCCTAAGAGGGGTTCAGTTTAGAGCCATGTGCTTCAAGGACACACCACGTGCTGTTCGTAGTCTTCGCTTCATTACTTAGCACGCAAATTTTCGCAACAGATATGAGGCAGTTCACCAAGCATGGCAAAATTGTATGGATCAGTTGCCTCAAGCACTCTCAATCAAAGCATTTTGGAAGTCCCTTAATTCGTTTATGCAGATTCACAACCCCCGTCAGATGCCACACCATCATTCAATGCGCCGTCGTAGGAAGCGGCCCTGCAGGAATGTATTGCGCGCAACGACTTTTAAAAGTAATTTTCAAATAAAGACGTGCAATGCTATCGTTTCCATCTTCTCTGCTCGTAGTTTGTCTGTTATGCCTTTTTCTACAGGGCTTGGAGAGAGTCAAGATTGACATCTATGAAAGCCTTCCAGTCCCATTTGGACTGGTTAGGTATGGGGTCGCACCAGATCATCCAGAAGTGAAGAATGTCACGAACACCTTTACCAGTATACTTTCTGAGGACAGGGTGGAGTTCTGTGGCAACATTCACATTGGGAAAGATGTGAGAACAAAAATGTTGCAAGAGGCTTATCACATTGTGATATTGGTGAGGATCACAGGCCTATCCTATTTTCATGCATCTTTCAAGTGCCAGTGTGGTCAAGATAACTTTGTAAATGTAAATTTATTCATCCCTTTGGGGGGAGAGTATGTGCTTGCACCCAGAGCACATTGAAACTTTTAACATCCTTGGCTAGCAGCCTACAGCCATTAGAAATTTCATTATAGTCAACTCTCCAGATCTCCTTTTCGGATGAAGCCCTCTAGTCTTTCAAAAGGGTTCTCATTGGGAATATGAGCTTGTTTATGGCTGGAGCTCCATGAATCTGTCTTGAATAAGTGGATAACAAATGATTAAATGTCCACATTTATTGATTCCTATAATGGGACTAGGTGAGACATATGGCAAGGTACTAAAAAATCTTGCGAAGGACGATTCCAGGGAAAGAGGCAAAGGAACTTTTGCATACTGTGAGAAAAGCAAGACCAATAATTCCTTCTAGTGGCCTGGCAAAGAACTTCAAGGTGTTGAAGTTCTTCCCCAGGAGTTCTGCAGTTCTTTTCAATGTGGGGATATGCTCATGTTGTGCCCACATCAGGCCAACATCATACCCCAACATTCACATTCTGCCAATGTTTCCCACCTTTACCCAATGTGGGCCCAATGTAACGTGTTATCTGGGATGGTTTCAAATGGTAATTTCAAATGGTTCATGCTGGTGCCATGATGCTTTTCAGATGGTTCCAGCTGGTTTCAACCTGGTAGCATTTGCTGGTTACGCTATGGTTCTGGCAGATTTAATGGTTTTTAAATTGTAAAATTTGGTGGCTACAGTATTTTTCAAACTGGCTTGATAGTTTACAAATGGCAATATTGGATGCTCAAGAGACAATGCTTGATGGCATGGCTAATTCATACTGGGTGTGAAATTGGTAACAAATGATATTTCATTGATGATGTATCCCACGCAATTTTCAAGTCCCTATGGCCATTGGTGATATGATAGAAATCTGAATTAAATTTCCAAGGCTCTTATCTCTGCCATTTCTTTCCCCAGAATTGTGTGCAAATATAAGTGGTGTCAGGGGGAGCTAGTTTCAGTTTCTCAACAGATACATTTGACAGTAAAAGAGAGGGTGCGAGAATATGCTTATCAATCAATGGTAAAGAATATTACTTTGTAAGGTATTGTATGAGATATTTACTCCATCCATCTTGTTCCAGCGAGGAAGCCATTGCAACTAGCATAATTTGCAGGGCATAGGAAGAAGAAACTTGAAGGGCAGAGGAAGAAACTCCAAGGAAATAACTTGGAGGAAGAAGTTATTTCTTATTTAAACATTTTAAATTCTTTTTATTTTCCGCTGAAGATAATTGAGGGATTTTTAAAATTCCTTGCTGGTTCCATGCTGGAACAGGACTGGTTCCACATGAGTGCAGTTAGTACCAACAATCAGGCCATCTGTAAGCCTTGACAGAATGTACAAGTTCTATCTGCTATTTTTCATCATGGAAATGACACATTTTAAGCTTACTGGTTACTCCAGTGGTATATTTGATTCCAGCTGGAACCATTTACTCCAGCTGGAAATAAGAACCATCAAAAACCAGCAACTTCTTGCTCAGTCCAACAAAAACCATTGAATATCCAGGCTGGTTCCAGCTGGAATTTTTGACTGGGATCATATCATATAAATTGGGATTGTGCAATGGTATTCCATTAAGTGGAGTTTTCTATTGAGCAGTATTCCATTATGTGGAGTTGACTGTACATTTAACTGCAATATCTACTGATTTAGCATAGTTGCAAAACCACAGTGAACAAATTGGGTTTGATTGGGTCAAATGCCAGCCTCTAGTATGACTATTGAGTCACTCTGAAAGGTGTCTGGCACACAAGCATAAAAGTTATGCATGCTGCTTAGTGATACTTGGTATTGCAACAAATATTACTCAAAAATGAGCCAATGCCTGATGGGGTGCTCCAGGTGTGACATCATTTGTAAACACAGCAGGTGCAACCATAGAAGGGCATGTACAAGGCAACTGCAAAGGACAAAGCTTGTCCTGCTACCTCTGCATTGAATCCATTAGTTATAACATTGCATAGAGCATCTTTGCAATCACTCAAGAACTTATTGTCAGCACTTTACAGCAACACTTTAAATATTCAATCATAGTTCCACTTGTGTATACAAAGGTCACATAAGCAGTGCTCCCAATGAGGTCTGTGATTATTGTTAGTGTAATGCTTTTCCAGAATGTTATGAAACTATTCCCCAAGTTTCACTGAGCTGTTCTATGTAGTTTCAAGGCAAGAGCACTTAAGCTATTCAAGAGGCTTTACAATAACCTTGTAAACATTAAAAGAAATCCATTTTCAAAAATTTAGATATAGCATGACAGATTCATGGCCAGTGGACACATGGTCACTGCATTCAAAGCCTCCATGCCTAGACCACCAAGCCAAACTTTAGTATTGATTTACCACTGAGCATAAGAAAACACTCACTATCTTCCCTGTCTTCAGCACACTTGCTGGCATGGAGTGCCAAAGGTGCTGAATTAGTGGGGGATGCAGTCACAAAAAATAATAATAATAAACAAAATAGATTCATTAGGGTTTTTTTTTTCCCTTCCAGAAAGGATATCTTTATTTCCAGATCAAGTTCATGTCCAGTACATGCCACACAGATTAGGCAGGTAATTCCTTCTCTAGCTAAAAAAAAAAACAAACAAAACAATTGGCTGTTCAAGAAGTTTCTTTATCCAGGTGATGAAAAAAGTGATATTCCAAGGTGATTATTGCTACATTATTTGGGTGGTTTTTTTATTTTATTTTCTGATCATGATGCCAACAACATCAACAGATGCATACCCAAGCAAAAATATCAAACCCCACATAGGACAAATGGGGGAGGATCAAAACTAAAAACAAGGGGTTTTCCAGTAAAAACAATTCACTAGACATTAATATACTGATGGTACTGATAAAACAAAGTATCAAAGCAGGATGGCATTTTTAAATAGCAATTATTGTGATCAAGATAATAAAAATGTTTACTGTATTTGCCTTGTCATTTCCTCCTTGTGATTCCATTACTTGAAATTCTTTTCACCCTTAATTATTGTCAAGGAATGTAGGCCTCCATTTTTAAGATGATCCCAGAGCTTTTTGTCAATGCAGAGTCACGGTGCAGATGCTGAACGAGTTCTTGGAATCCCAGGGGAATCCACTGCAAAGAATGTAATATCAGCCCGGGAATTTGTTGGCTGGTACAATGGTCTGCCTCAAAACAGATGCATGCAGAACAAGCTTGACCTTGAATGTGAAGAGGCTGTGATTGTTGGTATTGGGAATGTGGCACTTGATGTATCCAGGATCCTCCTCTCACCAATTGACCTGTTGGCTGTGAGTTTCCTTTTCAAAATGTATTGTCTGTATCTCAGGTGATAATACACAAAGACAATTGTACTGATACTCTTAAAGGAGACTGACATTACAGAGGAGAGCTTGGAAGTGTTGAAGAAAAGCAAGATTCGACGATTAACTCTACTGGCACGCAGAGGTCCTCTTCAAGTTGCCTTTACTATTAAGGAGTTCAGAGAAATGACAAAAATACCTGATGTACTCACCATCTTTGACCAACCAGAAATGGTCTCCAGCCTTCAGTCTGTCATCCCTGGTAAAAATGCAGAAGACATATTGTCTTCAATCATAACAGTGCAACCACAATCGTTGTTATTCATTCTAGATCTCCCTCGTCCAAGAAAACGCCTGATGGACCTCATGCTGCAGACATCAAAAGCTACAGTACCTGCTGCCAAAAAGGAGTTTCATATCAGATTTCTCCACTCACCTACCTCTTTCAATGTTGATGAGGATGGAAAACTATGTTCTGTCACTTGTGCTATCAATGAACTTCATCCAGAAACAAAGAAGGTACTCAGTACATCTAGTCAGAACACTATCATGGGTGGATTGGCAATGAGGAGCATTGGATATCAGGCAATTCCACTAGAATCAGAATTACCTTTTGATGTTCATCAAGGCATCTACAAGCATCAAGTTGGGAGACTGGAAGGAATGCCAGGTAATTTTTTAGAATGTGCATTTTAAAAAGGAGCTTAAGATGCATCATGCTCCTATTCATCATGCCCCTTAATCCCTTGGTGGTATGCATGTCTACAGCTGCACCCCCAGGGGTGCAGCTATAGATGTGCCACCACTTGGTCACCTGGGGGTTAACCTGTTGAGTGAGTTTTTTATTTATTTACAAAAACAAGGAGGTACATTTGAGGTGTTCATTACTGCCCTTTCCAAAGAAGGTTACTCATATTCTGTGGTCGTTGATAGGTGCTAGGACAAAGGTTATATGGTTGAGTACAAACAACCCTCCATGCATGACTAACCATACCAATATTTGAAGATATGGAGAAATTAATGCGTGAAGTTTGAAATCATACATGTACAGTCTTACTCTTTCACAAGTTAAGGATCACAGATTGTGTTTCTCCTCCAATAGGTACATACTGCTGTGGCTGGGTGCAGACTGGTCCTGAGGGTGTCATTCTGAGTACAATGAGCAATGCTTTTGCCCTCTCTGGCACTATCTTAAAGGACTTGAAATCCATGAGGATTGAGGAAAAGCCTGGGCTTGATATTGTCAAGAACTACCTCAGTGCTCAAGGTGATGCCCTATTCTCATCACACTTGGAAGACAGCATATTGATATAGTGTACAATAATCACAAATACTATGCTCTGCCTCTCAGGTCACCCTGTGGTATCATTTGAGGGTTGGAGAAAGATTGATGCTGAAGAACAGAGAAGAGGGAAAGCAAAAGGGAAGCCAAGGGAGAAAATGACAGATGTAGGAGAGATGATCCAGATTGCAATATGATGATTCCATGAAATGATATTATGTTAATTGCTTTGACTGCAAACCTTTACTAATATATCCCTACAGATTGACATTTTATGATACAGGGTATTTCAAAACATTTTAGGAGTCCACCAGGACACTGAGTAGTTCTATGCGCCTGCCCCTCGAACCATTCGAAAAATCGTTTTGAATGAGAGAGGAGAATTGAATAAGAAACTATGGATTAAGCTACAGCGTTTTCGGAAATGAAATATTTCATCGATTGGCAGCCCTCGAGCAAATCTCACTCGCCGCACATTAAAATCTAAGCATATTTGTCGAACTGGTTCAAAACCTGTTTCACTTCTAACTCTCAGTTCTAAATTCAGGGAGTTCGAAGTTCGAAGTTCAGGGTGCCTTTGTCCGCTGACGACATGTGCCAGGAGACACGCACCACCCAAGAAAAAGGATTATCCTTCAAGGAGACGGTGAAGGATATTTACACGGCACTCTCCCCGTGTCCTTGACTTGTCGCCCTGCAGTGGGAAAAGTGGGCTAGGGCACTGAAACTGACTAAGGGCATGTGTGCTCGTATTGCAACACGGTTTCCCTTCATCGCGCCGGGGCAGTGGAACCAGTGTATGGTTTGAAAAAGTTGATTAAGAATTAAGAACAAGGATAGCATCGAGAGGATTTGCTACGTCTGGAATAAGATTAACACGGAATTACATTGAGAAGAACGAAGATGACATGAAATGAAGGTTGCGAACGTGCATTCCCTGCTGCCCGCATACGCCCAATTGCACCACACGCAGATGTTCATCAAAACTTGACAGTCTATACGCGTAGTTGCCGTTAACACCTGTTTTCCATTTACATGTGCTCGAAACTGCCAGGATATGAGAAAGAACTCCAAGCAACACAGCTTTAGAGAGATTATGTGCACGCCAGAGAGGAAATGCCGCTTTGTCATGATGTCCATGTAAAACTATTCTCATCATTTAATTAAAGCTTTCTAAACGTAAAAAGAAAACTATCATTTTGTTCGTCACAAGAAGAGCTTGTTTACAGCAGAACGGTTTTGAAGCGATGGAAGAAAGTTTTCACAAAATCCGGCTAGAAAATGCGGTTTCCCGACCCTTTCGAATAAAAAAAAAGCGTGATGAGAGCATAACTTCCCAGCAAACAAGGCTACTTTGGACCAACGTTGTAACAACGTTCCAAACGTTTATTCAATCCGAATTCAACGTTGATTCAACGTTATGTGTTTAAAATTGTTTGCTGGGTTGTTTCTCCATACATCGACATAGTATTGCGAACGACGAAAATCTGTAACCTATACAGGGTGTCCCATAAGTCACTATACCATATCAAACTGCAATATTTTCCAAACTACAACAACCAGGTCACTTTTCTTAGCAATGATGGAATGAACGTTCTTTAGAATTTTTCACAATAATGACTTGGAATCAGACTCAGACTCAAACAGAAATTGCTCCGAAAGCATGTCAGAAAGGTGTATATCTTTTGGGTATGTCTTTGGGGATTTATAGTACGCCTTGTTGAATCCTCTTTTGCAAACATTCTGAAACAGCATGTTTTCGTTCCTAATTCCAGACAGACCTAAAGAACAGAAAAAATTAATCTGCTTTCATTAATCGTTTATCATTTAATTTGCTTTCACGGAAATGAGAAAAAGGCTTCACAATTGCCTCTTGAGCAACGAAGGAATGTTACTACCTGAAAGGAGGTCTTTGAGAGTCCCATCAGAGTCCAAAGGGAGTTTCGGCAATATTTTGGTCGTGAGCCTCATGCCAAATGTATTGACATAGGCGGAGGGCATTTTGAAGCACTTTTAAACTTCAGAAATACCTCCATTTTTGACAAAGATAATTCCAAATGACATGCTATCGTTCAGTTAATGTTACTTCTTTTTTGCCCCAACTGTATGGTAGATGTGAATTTTTGAAATGGTATAGTGACTTATGGGACACCCTGTACAGGCAAGTAGTGTAGCTAGTGCTGCTGTTAAGTTAGTAGTTTGTTGGATACTCTGATGCATGAGTAAGACTTTTCCATTATGTCTCCAGCAAACGATTTTGAAACACATAACGTTGAATCAACATCGAATAAACGTTCGGAACGTTGATACGACGTTGGTCCAACGTAGCCTTGTTTGCTGGGTTTGGATGATGCTAGGTTTGGGGGATTGAATTTAAATAGATTTTCAAAACTTTGAGCACTGATCAAGTTTTCTCAAGGGAAGACTTGTCCCCATGGGATATTCATGCGCTGGAAGTATACTACCGTAATTTACCTTCCTTGAACATACAAAATAAGTGGGAAAATGAGTCCGACGAGGACAAAATTCAATGGAAGATAAGCCTTTACAGGTGACGACAGCAGACGCTGAGGCGCCATATAAAAGTCGGTAACGGAAGACAGGCGAAGGAAAACGAGGGAAATAGCGCCAAGTGGTTTGAGCAGCGTTCAAAACCCGAATGTCGTCCGACGTTCGACATTGCGAAAGAGTCACGACGAATGGACAGAATTTAGACCGATCCTACAGACTTTGTTCACGGCTAGTGACCGGAGACGAAACCTGGCTGGACTGCTGGGACCCAGAATCCGAGCGGCAATCCACATAATAAGAAAGCTTTCCGCCACCGAGGAAGTTTCGGACTCGGGCTCTGATCGGCCGAGTCGTAGCGATGACTTTCTGGAACACTTTCAGAGTCATTCACATCGACCGAATCCCCCTAACTGTACGATCATGGGCTCATTGCTGCCTTTCTTTGGAAATCCATCGAGAAGAACGCCGAGGAGAGGGATGCGCACTTTACATGGCTTAGCATCAACTCCGAAGCGATCCTTTTCATTTTTATTTTATGGATTTGTCCTGTACTTGCTTCTCATTTCCGTAAATCCACATATCTCAGTAAATGCTCCGTTTCCTTCGCTGTAACTTAATTTGTTCCCTGATTTCGCTGAAGTTGTGTATTTGGTCTGTATTCTCATAGTTGAGATTTCATTTAGGCATTACATATCAGTCCCCCGATTCTCTTTGCACCCCTTCGATCCTATGCTCAGAAATCCCCCCCCACCCCTCCCTCCCATTCCCCCTCAAGAGCCTGGATTAACCCGTGTGCGAGTACGAAAGAGGGCTGGTGGAGGTAAATATTGTCATTCGGAGACGTGAGGGCTGGTGAAGGTAAATATTGTCATTTGAGGACGTTCAGCTTGATCTATGCACGCCCATTGTTCCAGGAATTCCTTACTTTCCTCCATTTTCCTCATTTTGACTGTGGTCACTCGAGCGTATGTTTTGCAGGTCACCCTCCATGACGTTGGAATCTAACGATTGCCGCCTTCAATCAACCTGAAACCTACAGTGTGAGTCAAATGTCTGGAGTCGATGAGGGATTTGACAGGTGCTCTATGCGATCACCCTTCCACGCAATGCAGATGTCGGCGGTTTTGCCACTCATTCCGGACGTAGCGGAGCATATTTGGGGTCACTGTCCCACAGCTGTCCACGATACGTTGCCGTAGCTCATGCAGATCGGTCAGTTTAGTGGGTTTTTTTAAATCCATGACTCGATGTACTCCCAAAGGAAGAAGTCGAGGGGAGTCAGGGTGTTAAATGCGTCTGCTACCTCTCTTTGGACAATGCCCTGTCGCACGCATGAAACAAGTTATCTCCACGCGTTCGTCCTGCGTAAGTTTTATGGCTCAGTCACACGTAGAAAAATAGATAAGCCAGAATTACTATTGATTCCGGATATTTGACTCGCACTGTAGTGACCTGCATGCGAAACACATCCGTAAGAACATTTGCGTGGAAAGAGAATTGAGAACGGCAATACTGTCAAGTGTGAAACTGAAGGGTGTTTCGTCGTCGAAAGATTGGCCTAAAACTGGCATGAACATAATAAAATAAACTTTTTCCTCCGAAGACTTACTAAAGGGATTATGACTCTTACCTTACTCCTTCATCACATTACAATGCGATGAAAGAGTAAGGTAAGAATGACAGTGGTCATTATGAGGGGCCATGTTGAAAAATCCAAATGAAACTATCGCTGGCAAATCACCGCAATCAGGCCGAGAATTTATCGGACACCCCTCGTCTATTAGGAGTAGCAGTAGTTTGAAGCCAGAGGAACCGATCTTGACTAATGAGTGATCAACTCTGACATCTTGCGACAGGCTGGGAGAAATTAAGTCACATTTGAGGAACCCTTGAGCATGCCGCGTGCCAGGAAAAGGGGGTAATAGCGTCATTCAGATGAATTGTCACTGCAGGTGATAAGGGGAGCAATACTTGAGGTTTTTATCCACTTCAGGTGTTATATACGAGGTATGTCAGATCCCCCTCTTCATTTACGTTATTTGCACTCCGCACCCCCCTCCATTTTTTTTAATTTTCTCTCCCCCGCCACTGTTGTAGGGTCATAAATCTGGCTTCTTTTTATGAACTCAGTCGACAGACTCAAATGCGCTTCCATGGAGGCAAAGAGGCGACACAAGCCAGTTTTTAACTAGAATCATCGCACCTCCACCATTTTAATTATGTCTTCGGTACACTTTGTTCTTTGATACGTATATTAAGTGGTGTCAAAGGGCTCACGTGGGTGTGGTTCCACTTGGAAAGGAAGCTTGAAATAACTTGAAGCGCGTCACCTGGGAGATTTAAAAAGATGCATTTGCATAGAGGTGTGCATGGGGACTCCACTCGAGATGGGAATCTTTCTCAGTCCTTCATATTGGTAGTCAAACTGCAATCTAGTGACACGAGAAGTAATTTTAAGATCGCTAAGAAAGAGGTGGCTTTTTGAAGGAAACTTTTATACGAACAAAGGAAAGGTTGAAAATTGCTCTAAACGACAGAAGTATTAGAAATATTGTTCGATGGCCTTTTCTTCATTTTCTCGGCTTCCATCCTGGACCAGGTACTTGCAGTTCCTCTTTTCCTTCCTGATTGTGGCCTCTTCCCGTTATGGTGCACCTGTATTCCATGGAGGGAAGAATCCACTGCATGCAAGTTTCGGTCTAATAATTTAGAGAGCGATTACTAAGCGTAAACTGGAAAGATTGAAGGCACTCCTCTCTCGTGATGATTAGATAATGCGCTCTCAGAAGCGATCCAAAAGATGGATTTGGACACTCTTCAGGTGTCATAAAATTCACGGCGATGAGCTAAGTTATTTTCTATACGGAGAGACGCCCATAGACGGATGAAACCATGCTAAGATCGGGGCATCATGCTTATTCTAGCCAGCAAATCTAATCATATCTCGGATTGTACATACAGAAGGAAAATGGAGGAAAAGACACAGAAACTACACCGATAAAATAAAAATAAAAATGGAATAGCAAAACGAGAATCGAGGCGTGGGAGGAAATCGCATCCTCGTCACTGTTCTACTATTATTAAATTAACATTACATCTAAAAAAAAATAAGCACAGTCATATTAGCAATAAGAAGCAGTGTTCCAATAAATGGTGAACAACCAGTTTTGATTTCTGAGAGACCTTATGGAGAACCTCTGTCATAGTATGTTCCAAGAAGCAGCATTTCCACACAATTACTTGTTCTCATTGTGTTGAGGCAATTCCACGTCCTCGCTGTTCCTTGTCTGAGCGTTTCTTCCTTCTGTAGTCGTCATTCGGATTTTTTTTCCCATTACAGTCGACGTTGTTCCGTCATTGCACTTCCAGCTTTCAGTGCTTCTTGGTGTCGTCATAATTGTGTCGTTCATCTGTCTGCTTTTTTTCTTGTTGACGGAGTTCCGTCCTTGCTTAACCGTCGACTTGGATCCCTGACAGTACTATTCCAGTCGTTATTTTGCTATCTCACCATTCCCATTTTACAAGTGAAATTTCTTGGCAACACAATGAAACTGGGTTTTTCATTCTATGTCAAGCGTGAAAAAACCAGTTAATTGTAATATTTGTCAGAAATATCTGTTTGGATGGTCACTTTTCCAAAGCACAAATGAGTAGGCATATAAAACGCTATTCTTCTTTATTCTACCCTGGCTAGAGTAGCTCAACATGGGTATTGGGCTCTTAGGGGTTCCCCTGATATTTATTTATTTTTAATTATTACTCGCCTCTCACTGTCACAACATGATTTGCTTCATCACGTATGGATTCATGTCCTGCATGTTTTCGTGGATAATACCCAAAGTGAAGTATTCTCAGTATTAATAAGAGTCTTCAAGGGAATATATTTTCAATCAGCAATGTACATTCTACGTGTTGATGTACCCATTCCAATACGTCAAGTGCAGATTCAAGGGGAGATAGGAAACATGGGATGGAAACAAGATAGTTCATCATGAAAACTAGACAGAGATTGTCATACACTGGCCATGGAGGAGAGAAAAAAATCACAGAAGGTAGTGGAAAGAGGCTTCATTTAAAGGCACTAGTATCATGCAATATTATGTATCACAACCCCAATAACAACTTAAACATAGTTATAGCACTTTTTAAAATTTTGAATTAAGGAAAACACTTTCTGTGATTCCAAAGCAGGGCAGTGCAAGAAAATTATGACATCCACTTAGAATACCTGAAATCTATCATTAACAAACAAATCATGAACTAAAAAAAAAAAAAAAACGAGCAATCATAGATAGTACTTCCCACAATAATCAAATCATCATCATATGGGGATAAATAAAACCATCTCATGTACTTGTTCAAGATATTACTTCTGAGTTTTTAAGCATAAGGGTGAGATTCAAGACCAAGAAGATTGACTTCCAAAGGCCAATCTATTATGAAGGGTCTCAATGGACACATTAAGGGCCTAAATACCACCCTGAGGTAAGGAACTCACACTTTCTATTGAGTAAGTCCTATGATTAAATATTTCATATTGTCCAAGGCTGCAAGGTGGGGCAGAAGTCCCTAGTAATTTGTGTTGGTGAGAATGCTGCTGAATACAGTCAACTTCTACTGGCTTTCAGGCATGGTATTTGTTCTTTACACAAAAGACTGCACTCTAAGTTTCAAGTCGAATCCATCATGTCAACCATTTGTTCATCTTTGCAAGATCATGGGATCATATGCTATAAGTACAGTGTAGCTGTATGGTCATAGACATCTTGACAGAGATAAAAATTGATCTATGCACTTGATGGACACACAATGGACATTTGAAATCCAAGGGGAAATGATCCATTTTTTAAGTTGGAGCACACCAATTTACCCATTCCACAAAATCATGTATTTTAACATAACTGATCTTTGTTTTCAAACTAATTTCATATAAGGTCATGCACAGATGTTAGCTCATTTGCTCTTTAGGAGAGTAGTAACTTCAGTTGCTGTAAGTAAAAATAGTCATTTAATTCTTGCTGCAGACAAAGTGTAAAAAAATGCCTGCATCACTCATCCTCTATCACAGGAATGGCAACATGGGTAGTAATGAAATAAAACACATGCCCTTTGACCAGGGGATACAGGATTTATTTCCTGCACTTGTAATCTGTTGTCTGCTGAAATGATGCAGATCTAAGCTGCCCATTCCATCAAGTATGCAGTGTCTGTTTCCTGCAAAGCTGGTAAGCAGATCATTAAAACCTTCAGCCTCTCCATCTTGCACAGAGTGCTCCAAATCTTACTCATCAGTCCTTCACTTGATACTACCCACTTCCAGGGAAATAAATGTCAGATTCAGCAAAATAATGGAGTCATGTTTTCTTTTTTAAAGCTTTACAGTCAGTTGAGAATGAACAAACAAAATGAATCCGTCATAGTATGACTTTTTTTGTTGCAGGTAGCTGGTTACCTGATTAGATGCAGACACCACCATTCAAGTAAGGTGGAAAAAAAAAAGGAGCTTTCTCATCTTGGTATACTGAGATGCCTTCATTCCCTGCTAACAGTTCTAACATCTTAACCCTTTGAGGAGTGGGTATTTTTAACGTCTAGAGCAGCGGTGCCCAAAGTGCGGCCCGCGGGCCGCAATCAGCACACAAAGTGTCTTAGAGAACATCCACTTTGGGCACCCCTGGTCTAGAGGATCACCCGTAGTGAATACATGGAGGGCAGGAGGATGTCAGCCCGTATATATACTGGCATACTCATCAAAGGGAAGCATTGCTTCATCTTGAAAAAGCAGCACATTAAATTAATATGCTGCCACAATCCCATCTCAATCGGATATATCTTGCTGAACTGACTGAATCATTTTTCTTTAGAAGCAACTAAACAACTCACCAATTCCTAATCACACCAATGCCTAATTTGACTCAGAGCTGTTCAGAACTCAGCTCCAGTACCTCAAAATAATACATGGTCCAGGCTGCTTCTTTGACTTACATATTATTTTACACTTCATGGTTTTAAAATTTGACTGTAAAAATAATGGTGCCCATGATAGTTTTGTCTAATGTGGATGAAACCTTACATTATGGTAAATAAAATTCGGCACTGATTATCATACATTCCACCAGACTTGTAAAGTCACCAAATTAAGTTTTATATTGATTTGTCAGCAGCACAACTGCACTGAAGGTTACTATACTAGCTTTCCCCTCCAATTCTGACAATTGGCTAAACTTCAAGGTATCTGAGTTGAAGAGCATTTTAAAAGCTAAAATAAAGATACTAAAGGGCAGTTTTTCTATCCTTGAGAATTTTAGGTTTTTGTCTTCCATCTTCAATCCCTGATTGAAATATATATTTACAAATGCAAATATGTTCACTCATTCCCCCCATGTACACTGTGTCAGATGATTCCACGATGGATGTAGCCCACAAAGAAGGCACATACTGAGTAAAAGTTTCTAGGGTAAGTTCTTGTGCAGAAAGACTTATCTGCTCACGGAATCTTAAGAAGCTCAAAGATCCTTCCAGGTTAGATGTTATCCAAGCAACTCTGCCTGCATATGAACCATAGACTACTTGTACCCGATCCAATTCAATGCATGAGATGGATTCTTTCACGTTGAGGGTGGTGACTGTATCATGAGACCTTATGGACAATTGTAAAATGTGGTTAGTTAGATGATTTCACTGGGTCATATGTCAGCAGCACTGCAAGGGTCCTTCAGTGATCACCTAGCTTTACCCTTTGTGACAATGATGACGTACAATGCTTATTTTAGCAATTGTTCAAAAACAGGAAAAATCATAAGATACAGCTGACAAAGCCTACATCTGCAGTAACATACTGCATAAAGTAGGTTGAAGGAAGAAATTTATGTGTGGAAATAATGAAGAAAACATCTATTAAGACAAATCACCAAGACTATCACAGATCAAAGCACTGGAAAATAATGATAATTGGTCCATGATTCCACCACACAAATATACAAGGTGCTATACTGGTATATTATCGAACATATAGAAAAGAACTACAAAAAAAAAACTGAAATCAATAATGATAAATAAGGTATTGATTAACTTATGGAGTGAATTTCACCGTGAGCCCTGGGCTTAATGATTAACTCATCAATGCAACAAGCAATGGCATAGGAATTGATTTTAATCTCTTTCACATTCAGAAGTTCTTGATCAGGATTCAATCATGGAATGGATGACAGCCAAATTAACTAGTCATGCTTTACTATACAGGGTTGCCCTTGGATGTATTGGCTATGTGTGGAGCTGCTTTGGGAGGCTCTGCAGGATATCCATTGTATAGAAATACGCTCAGCATGACAATGACAGTACCAAGAAGGAACTTGACTGTCAGAGGCACATCAAATATGAAATAAGATGCAAGGCAGCTCAGCACAATTGCAAGGGATGTGGCAAACCCTTTCATGATGTTATCAGCATACTTCATAACCATAGCAACAAGAAGACCCCCAAGAGCCTGCAGGGCTATGAGAAACCAGACGAATGCATCATATCCAACAAAAAAACCTTGCTCCTTGATTTGTTCTGTTTCCTGAATGAAGGCAGAGACAAGGGCAATGGGTATAGATAATAAGGCAAGTTGAACCTGCCTCATCCAAAGTGAAACATCACTTCCTTTGAGGATACGTTCAAAGTAGACACCAGCGAAGCCTGAGAGAATGCAAGCTATCAAAGCAGCAAGGAATCCAGTCATAGGACTCTCGGTTCGAGTGGTCACCTTCCGACTCTGCTCTTGAGAGAGCTGCACAATTGCAACCCCAGCTACTAGAACGAGAAGAGCCAACCACTGCATACGAGACAGGCGCCGGTTCAGCATTGTGACTGTGAACATGGCTGCAGTGAGGATCTTCAACTGATATGTGACTTGGTAGACTGCAACATCAAGGTTTGAAGATGCAACATAAAGAAGATTGTTTTGTATAACATAGATGAGGGATGGTACTCCAACTTTCAGTGTGTTAATAGGATCATCAATGATTGTTAACTTGAGGGCTCTCTTCCACCTAAATAAGTCTCCTTCATCACGATAGACCATGAAGAGACTGGCTAAGCATTTTACCACCTCACTCATCAAGACTGCTGTTGCAATGATGTATAGCTTCACATCTCGAACTCTGGAGTATCTCATGCAAATGCCAAGGGCTGCATTTTGCACTGTTAGAGATATCACACTTACAGTCTTCATGTAAGCTGGGGATTGGCTTTTGATCTGCTTCATGCTGGTCTCTGTAGGTATCCTCAGGCACTCAGTTTCACTCTCAACAGCACCAGAAGTTTCACTGTTTGACATCACCAAGAGGGAAGGAGAAAATTAACTGCTTGTCCATCGAGCATAGGTTTTGCACATGTGGCACACTGGAACTCCTGAAATTTTTGGTCTCCTGGGAAGGCTTACTGCTTCTAGCTATCCTAAGAAAAAAAGAAGTATCATTCAGATAACTTCCCTGTACTGCATCATAAGGAACTGTCTAGGCCTGACCATTTCATTTACTTAGTGTAGAGTCACCTGGTCTGTTGTTAGTATCTTGCATGGTTCAAGGCTAACATTGGGTCTAATGCTAGGCATAGTAGCTTGATCTTCCCTTGATAAGCCTATATAAGAGTTTCTCATTAAAAGAGAAAGAACGGCTAAGAAAATAAATGAAATATGGGTTTCCTTGAGTGCCACGGCAGGCTCGCTCATTAGAAAACTCGGATTGGGAAGCAAGTACTACTTACAGTAGGGTGATCAATTTTTTCAGGAAAAACCAGGATATAAAAAAAACCTAAATGTTAGTCCTTGCAATGTGGAAAAACCGGGATACCAGAATGAAAAAGGAAAATTCAAACCGGGACTGTCCCAGTAAAACTGCGACGTATGGTCACCTTAATTTATAGAGAACTTATTGAATAATTGCATGGGGGCTTCATTTCGCATACATCATACCATACAAGCAAGAAAGCAATCCCATACGTGACATCGTTCAAAGGATCGTCGTGTAACAAAATATTTAATGTCATGCAATGACTGACTTCATGAAACAAACGACACTCTTCAGGCGCAAAAATTCTTAACACGGAGAGCCTTAAACATAGGTCCTATTGACTGACAAGCCTGGAACGACAGAGGCTCCCACAGACTTTATACCTGAGCTAGCGGTCAGTCCTGACAACACAGGTGTTCTCTCATGGAGCATTTTCCTTTGCCGACTGCAAGAGGGCAGCCACGTCGTACCGCAGTGTGCTCTGCACGACGGGTTGTTTTCAGTAGGGCTTACCGTTTCGCTTGACGCTGACTACAATGTATGGGGAGTTCTATATAGATAGGTTTCGGAGTCAGATAAAAGTGTCAGACGCGATTCTTACAAAAAAGTTTTGGCTTGAGGCCTAACTTTAGATCTGACCTGGCTTCCGTCAATTCCATGATGCACTGAAATTAGGAATTTTGCGTATGTACACATGGGTTAAACGTTAGCCTAACCTAAATTATTATACGTTATGCGCACACCCCCCCACCCCCTATGCCACCACTATGCACACTGAGTTCTAATATACAACCATAACCATTTAGTGCGTTTCACTGTTCCGTCTCAAGCCTACTACTAATCCCGAGGCACAGAAAAGAGTTTGAGGCCTGTTTCATCGTGACGACGAAGTACTAAATTAGAATAATAGTTTGGTTAGTGTTTTAGACTGCTTTGACGCGACTTAGTGTTATTCACTAGGGTCAGACACTCCTGCATTAAGAAAATCCCATGCATGAATGTCTGAGTCAAGTGGAAAGTTGCCTGACAAGTGAGGAGCATGGTATCTGAAACTGGGTATGTAAGATACTTAAAATCCAGATGTAGAGCCTGATACTCATTGAAGCCTGCCTAGGTGTGGGCTATTGGCACAGTTAATAAGTCTCATAGACCTTGCTCTATTCCATTTCTTTCTGAAAAATAAATTTTTGAAAGTTTCAAGCTTTTCCTTATGACTACACTGTTTCTGGATTGAATTCGCACCACCCACCTATAGTGGAGAATGGAGGAACCACACATTTACAGAGGTTCCACTTCATCATGTGATAGATGTAACCACCCATGGAGGAGAATGGAGATGTCACTACCTACAATTGATGCTAGCACACATATAGGGGGATATGAATTCAATCTGGAAACTGTGTACATACAGTTAAACATTGGAACTACTGGGGCAGTCCTTTTGGCTGCTTGCCCATTTTCAATGAACTTTACTCTGCTCATTTGGCAACTAAGGGCCACTGCAGTTTGTACTTTTCGTGAATTGTGTAGTGGGTGAAATGCCCTAAACTCGGGAATCGGGTAAAGGAAGATGCAGAAGGGAATGGCATGAAAAAAAAGTTCATATTTTCACCACCAGGGGAAAAAGTGGGACTGTAATTTATTATTGGACTATGGAGCAATTGCTCTACACGGTTTCCATTGGTAATCACAATTTGCTCAAACCGAGTAATCGTGTTTTCAATGATGGAATGGAGCATATCAGATACACTATACACAGATATGACTTGGCATATATGGACAATGGGTGACATGCACTGGATCCGTTTAAGCTAAACTAATCTGATTTCACAATGGTCCCCTATGGGAATCAGTTTCACAGAGATAAACTCGTTCCCATAGATGCCCATTATGAAAACGAATCAGTTTAAAGTTAAATGGATCTGGTGCATGTCACCCAACATATGCTGCATTTTTATGAGCCAATATATGAAAATGTATAGGGGTATATATTTTCATTTTGATACGATTTTATGTGACTTGTGTCAAACCCCATAATGTTTCACATGTTCCTATATAAATTGTACTATATGTTCATATATGCACCATATGTGTTAGACTGGCTAAATACATGGCCATTTCATACATGGTCTTATATGAAATTTTCACATGGGATGCTATTAATCCCAATGCTGCTAACTGGTGAAATATCTTCACATCTCCAGGGAAAATACACTCTCTAACTAGACTCCAAAGACCTAGGCATTTTTCTTCTTGTGAACTCTTCTCTCTCTTTTCCTCTTTCATGGTCATCTTCTGCTGACCTTTCTCCCATGTAGAATATTTTCAAGCTTTAACAGAACCCAAACCATTCTACATTTTACACCCAGAATACCTCAAACCCAAACACCAGTGCATAGTGATCAAACAGAAAACTTTCTGCACTTTCAATAACTTAAACCTTCAAACTAACAGATCTCTACCCATTGGATTAGGTTCATACTGACCTCAGCTTCAGTCTTGTGATTATGAAGAACATTGTTTCGGAAATATCATTAAAAGACTATATTTAGTATCATTTAGGATCTTTTGGGTTTTTATAGCAGGTTCTGCTTCCTTCAGCATCTCTTTTGATTTGAAGATCCTGAAAGAGCATGACATTTCAGGAGCATATTCTCACCCTTTGACTCTTATCTTCTCTTCACATTTGACATTTTCAATATTGAATTGATAAAACTGGTACATAATAATATTATCATAATACACCATTCTAAAAAAAAAAAAAAGAAGAGTGGTGGAGAAGTAGCAGACAGGACAATCCCTTCTATCTACCCTCGATTACCCTATCGAAACTTTTGAAATTTGAGAAATGAACAAGGAAAAGAGGACAATATACACTCAAGCTCAGGGAGAGTGCTCAGTTTTTTCTTGGAATCATGTATTATGTTTCAAGAATCTATTTTGTTGCAGGATGAAAATAAAAGAAACAGTAGTCCACTGGACTTATTATTTGTCCTAATATATTTTTCATAGATCTGGCAAAAGGCTCATCTTTTAAAAACCATGGCTGTAGTTCCAGTGAAAAAAGACTGTCATCCTCAGTACAGGGGATGTTGTCATCTGGCAGAGCTGAAAGAGAAGGATGGAGTGGATTCATATGAAACCATAATATCCTCTTTGGTTTCATGCACCAGTGAGGAGATGAGGAAGGTCAAGGTTAGTTTTTATTTTTATTTTTTATACTTCCATTCCAATGGTGATTTGCCAAGCTTCTGCATGTAATACTTATGGCCACCTAATTATGGTTCAAACAATACCTATATTTCTAAATGTGAACTTTATTTTATTATGTTATCAGGCTCTGACCAGTATCTGCAGCATATGCAGTTCCTATAGTGGGAGAATTCATGCATGCCTCCAATGCATATTCTTTGGGTGCTATAGGAAAAAGCACATTCACTCCCATTTCCAAGGATCTGGCCATTATCTTGGTAAGGATTTTAATCACCAATCTTAAATAACTAATACTATTGTTGCTATCAGATATTTCAGTCCCCATGCCTATTTTATATGTAGGTGTGGAGCTGTTATATGGCAACGTCTTCTGCTTTCACTGTGATAATTACGTTTATGACAAGCAGCTGATGGATATTACTCGAAAGCATGCTCGAAATGCCAGCAAATCCCTGGGCATGAGAGACCCCTTTGAGTCATGGCAGCCTGATTATGAGGAGATGATTCTCCTCAAGAGCAACAGGAAAAGACTTCGAATTACCCCAAACAGCACTATTGGTAGCGTTGTACAGCATTCCTGTCTTGACATTTAACCCTTTTGCTGCAGTACTCAGTCCACCTTTCCAAATTAGTGTGCCCAGGTACCATTTTAAGGATTGTGAAATATAACTTGTGAAAATAATTTAATATAGAAATTGTTTCTGAATACAATTGTAAATACGAAAAAAAGGTTTATGCCCTGAATAAAAACTCTGCAGTGAAAGGGTTAAGAATTTATTTGCAATTGTGCAATGATGGTAGTGAAATTTTAAAACAAATTGTGCTGATAATTGAAAAGGCCTGAGAGGGTTGATCAATCTGGGAAGTACATGCTTCATGAACTGCATCATTCAGACCCTTACACATACGCCCCTACTGCGAGACTATTTCCTGGCAGAGAAGCATCACTGCCCACCAGACCCAGAGAACACATGTGTTGTGTGTGAGATCACACGTCTCTTCCAGGAAGCAAGTCCTTGATGAATTTCTGGTGTCATTTATAAACTTATCAGAGATACCGAAGGGATATCTTTTTGTAGTTTTATTCTGGGAAGCGACAGCCACTGATCCTGCACCGTCTTTTGCATCTGATCTGGATGCATGCTCATCATCTAGCTGGGTTTGAGCAGCATGATGCCCATGAGTTCTTCATCTCCACCCTGGATGTCCTACATCGGTAAATCCTAATCCCCCCATGTGCCATACTCTGGCCACATTCATGTCTTGGTCTCCTGTATGCATTACATCTTTTTTCCAGTCATTTTTTCCGTGACAGTGGAGGCTCAACTGATCCCAGCAATCCTCATCATTGCAATTGCATCATTGATCGCATATTTACTGGAGGGCTGCAGAGTGATGTTGTCTGCCTAAAATGCCAGTAAGTGCTGAGCATTGGCAAGTCTTTTTTTTACTCAGAGTCATCTAAATACCATCTTGAATTTCTAGTGGTGTGTCAACAACCATTGACCCATTCTGGGACATATCTCTGGACCTCTATGATGGAAGTGATGCTCCACCCACCACCCTCCTTGAGTGCTTGGAGCGTTACACTCGACAGGAACATTTGGGCAGCACTGGCAAAATCAATTGCAACCAATGTGACACCTATGAGGAGAGCACAAAGCAACTTACCATGAAGACACTGCCCATTGTGATATGTTTTCATCTCAAGGTTTTTACTTTGCTTTATTTTTTTATGGGGAAGAGTTTTAGAGGCAGTAGTGAGAAAATGATGTGTCTGTTGCAGAGGTTTGAACATTCCAGCAAGAATCACCGCAAAATCTCAACACATGTGTCTTTTCCTGAGTTCCTGGATCTCACACCATTCATGTCATACATGCGGAGTCGCACACCTAATGGCATTCGTCCCCAGCATCAAGTGTCCTCCAGTGATAACCTGTAAACTAGACACACTTGACATCAAGTCTCTTTTACCTGCATGGCATAAAATGTTGACTTTTTTTTTAATATGAAAACAGGTATTATTTGTTTGCGGTGGTGAATCACATTGGGGGTATTCGTGGTGGACATTATGTTGTCTACATTCGCCAGCACCAGGACCAATGGTTCAAGTGTAATGATGAGCTCATCACCTGTGCCAACATCTCCCAGGTTCTCAACACTGAAGGGTAAGACTCTGCTTCTGTATTGGCTGCATTTTAAAGTTTCAGAACAATGATGACAAATCATTCTTGCCATAGGTACCTCCTATTTTACCACAAGAGGATCCTGGAGTATGAATGAAATGCAGTCATCATTATAAAACCTAACCAGATATTTATTGGGAATGAATTGTTCCTCCAGGGGGGAAAACTTTTTAAAAAATATATTGCTGGTGTAAAAAGCATTTGTCTTTCATTGCCTGCTTTGGTCAATAAGACACATGGATACAAAATTTTGACACTCCTGTGAATATCACAGGTAACCAAATATCTTTTGGTTACTTCCCAGAAGACACAAATGTTGCCCAAATGGGCAAACTAACAAAATTATTTTTAAAAAGTTACAGGCTTAGAAATGAAGTTCAGCCAAGAAATGTCTGCATTAGTAAATTCAGCAGCTGCACAGCCACTTAGTGTTGGTGTCTCTTCTATACTCATGGTTGACATCCAGTGGCTATTGAAGTGCTATATGAAACATGGTATCTTTTATGAGGAACCACAATGGTAACTTGGTTCTGGCTGAAATGGATAGCCTGTAGCATACCCCCAAAACTGCTGAGAGGTTAGACATTGTATCATTGCTTTGTCTATTTAATAGGCTGTGCTAAAATTGCTGAATTTATTCATGCACTCCATATGTTCAAGTTTAAACCCCAGAATTGAACACAAAATCTGAATGGAAAAAGACACCAGGATTGGACAACAATGAAGTTGGGTGTCATTTTCATCACACCCCACTTCACCTTTGAAACTTTCAACAGTTTTGGCTAAGAGAGGAATAAAAAAGAGTGCAGGCACTACAATGAGCTTCTGCTGGGTTCATGCCCATGTATGATTACAATACAATCACATACACCCTGGATCAGAACTTCACAAGCATGTTCCATGGCCCATGACATCTACAATGGCATGACAGCAAGTAATATGTACCAGTAAAAGAAAGGGAAAAAAAATGGGGGGGGGGGGGGTCTCTACAAAAATGAAATGACAAAAAAGCCTCCTAAAAAGAAAAGGGAGAATATTTGGGCTGCATGCAGCATGATCATACTCCTCATCAGTACCCTTTGTTTATCTTGTGAAAGAAGAAAATATATGTTAATTTGAACATGAAAAAAAAGCACAAGCCAGCCTACTTTCATAAAGCACTTTCTTGGCAATGACTGAAGTATTTGGAGAGGAACTGCTGGTTGGGTAATCAAATAAACCAGTACCTTATATAAACATGAACTGTGATTTACAATCATGACAACAGAGAAGTACAATGAGTGCCCAAAGAAATGACCTGGGATAAAAAATAGTGACTCATTCCTTGAGGGAAAAGAAGGCACTCTTACAGGGAGGGTTTTTTCAACAAGAGGTTACTTCCAATCGCTCTTTATCTCAAATGCCCATTCCCACTTGAGGTGTTCATTCCCATCATCATCAGTGAAGTTGGATTTCACTTGGTATGTTCCTCGGGCCAGAAGTCCTGAAGGTGCATCCTCTGGTGGGGTAGTGTAGCTCTGGACTTCAGATTTTGGTGCATATGACCCCACCATGTGGGTCATCTTCTCAACTGGTAAATGATACATATTGTTGAAACTTGATGAAGGCATGAAATGTAACTCAATGTAGAAAGCACATCTCACCTTGAATTCCTTTCCTAGATATCTTCTGAATGTATTTCAAGCCATGAACGATTTCCCGCTGAACATGGAAGTCTATCCGGATCCGATATTGGATTCCCTCCTTGATAACAAAGGTCTGAAAAAATGACCACAAGACACACTAGTGCAGGTAGTGTTTCTGGCTAATATGTCAACAGTATCAGTGGAATGCCACAGCCAATACTGCAAACAATAGAAAACAACACGGCAACCAGGAAAAACCAACCTGCTTCTTCAACTTGCTGAGATCTCCACAGAGGTCAAGTTCTTTGTGTGGTCCATCAGTGCACTCCATCACCAGCTTTCTGACAATCACCTTTCTTGGATCACTTGGATCTAGGGAATTTAGAAGCAAAGGCTAGCAAAATCCACTCAAAAGTGTGCTCATCCTCAAGATAAAATCTAAATAAGAGAAAGAGTTCAAATATGAATAGATGAAAATTTAATACATACAAAGGAAGGATACAACAATGAATTCTGTCCAATAGCTGATATGCTTATAAATCGATATTTGAAAAAAAAAACATACTGGCATCCATACAACTCATTTCACATGCCCTATCTGAAGTAAAGCTAGAAAATTATCATTTTAAAAAGTCAGCCTGATTTGATGGGAGTGCCCCAGATGGCAAGAGCTCAGGATTTAGCCATGTCCTGGACTAAGGATAGGCATCCTTTGCTGAGTTAACTTAAAAGTTACTAATAGTAACAGCAGAGAGGGAAGCAGTTCAAGTCTAGTTCTTTTGAGTTCCCAAAGCCAGTTTGGATCATCTAGTGATGATTGGGGGGGGGGGGGGAAGACTTGGATGGAAGGGGGTTAGCTGTATTCCAGAGTCAGGGCACAGTTTGGGCCTTGGGCCTCTTGCACCTGGTATCTTATCGTAGCGTGCTGTATCTATCATAACCCAAAGTAAGACTCAGGTTGCAGAATATCCTCTTTACTTGGATAGTAAATGCATAGATTGCATTAAGATTATGTAGTGGTAGCCAATTCTGTGACTCTGCTTAAGATGATGTTCGGTGCCTTCAAGCACAAAACAAAATTTTAAAAAAGGTAACAAGGCACGTAAAGCTAGTTCTCAACCAATTCCTCGAATGGTTATCACCCGAATGGCAAATTCTCCGAAGTTACAAATCCTCGACCGCACGGCCTTCTAAATAAATAAATTCCTCTCCTCCCTCTTTCTGGCGTTTTACTGTAATTCCGACACCAGTTACTGCACTAACCTGTCTCCTGTTACGTGCTCTAGACATAATTCACAATGTTCGCAACCATCTTGCACGCTTCAAAAATTCCAAGTTCTGGGGCTTGATGGTGTAGCCCTCTCCTCCTCACGGCCTGCCTTCCTGCTGTAGATCTGTCAACTGCACCTTCCTTTGTTTCTTCTGTAAAGGCACTCCCAATGCGTTCTCCGCCCATCCTTGTTCATTTGTTTTCGTGAGGATATAGCCCTCAAGAACTGTAAGATTCTTTCGCTTTTCGTTCTTCACGAACTCAATATTTTCACACCGTCCTAGTACTGACCACTCAACGATCTGTTTCCTGAACCACATGACTTTTAGGAATCTACTCCCATTTTCGATCTTCCTAGACTTGTCAACTATCTCACCTCCGGTGGCTGAGAGGATCATCCTGCATCATGTCTATTTATCTTTTTCTTTTCCGTGGGAGTCTTAACCATTAATCCGACTGGGATCGTAAGGGCAATGAGTTTCTAGGCGAACCAAGCTTCCTGAAGTTGGGGGCAAAGAACGGAATGGTTTCCTCCCCTCCAAGAGGATTAGCTAATTTTTCTTTGCCTTCCTTTCGCTTAGAGTCTTAGACCCTCCCTCTCGTCAACCTGGCTTGGTTGGGGAGGGGGAGGGGGCGGCATTGCCTTACCCCCCATCCAATGATGCGTCTGGGATTATGTGCGGTCTAGTGGCAAGATGTGCAAGACAGGAAATTTTGATAGGCCGGAAAATGCCTCGAAAGAAAGCCTAAAGGGCGTTTCACACCTTGCGTGTTGTGCGTTCTTTGCATCAAAACGCAAGCCTTGTGTTTTGTGAAAACCCTCGGGTGCAAGTGGACATGCGTGTGCACGCGTGTGACTGCTTACATGCCCAGGCATTGATGCAAAGAACGCATGACGCATAAGGTGTGAAAGGCCCTTAACGCTGGGTGCAGCCTTATCCGCCAATGCTCAGTGCCTTGGTTTCATGGCAAAGAGCGAGAGGTGGGAGGGATGGAAGCCATCGTAGCCGGATAGGAAAGTAATGAGTGGCTCCGGTCTTATCACTGACGTTGTCCTTCCCTCCCCGTTCTATATTTAATCTCGTCTCTAGCCTCTGCGGGGTTCGAATAATCAGTTACACACATGCAAGTTTCGATCCTAGCACTTTCCATCAGCTTGCCGATGCTTCGCGGATGCCTGAAAATCCGTCAAAGGTGACATAGGCGCTTCATGATAGCCTAAGTGCCAGTGGGAAAACTCGATAAGGCACTTGCAAAAATAAATAAAAAAGGAAGACCTCAAGTGTTCAGTTTCGAGCAATCGGTCCAAATCCATGCATGGTTCCATTGAGACATTGTATTGATATTTGCTCATTATCAGAGCCACGCCTTTCCCCTCCCCCAGGAAATGAAAAAGATAAGACAGATTTTTCTTTAAGCAAGAAAAGACGACAACGCATTTATTTAAATATTTGCAATATTTAGACGTGACCTAGAAAGGGGTACCCAAAATAGAATCACTTGCTCCTTCATTAAACTTTGATGTAATTACTCTTGCAAACACATTTGAAAGGGGTGGACGATATCTTGCAATGAGCTCCTACCACCCAGTGCCCTCCGAACCCGTTTCTCAATGAGTATGAATGTGACATATTGGATTTTTTTCCCGTCTGTTTTCCACATTGGGAAAAGCCTTCATTTTCAAGTCAACCCTATCTAATTTGACGGAGTTCCATACTAAAAGAACCACTGTATTTAGGGTGGGTTCTTGTACTCCCTTTTAGCTGCTAACAGGCTTTTAGTCCTATGCTGGCAATGGACCTAAAAGGTCTTTTAGGGCTAAAAGGGAGTACAAGAATCCACCCTTAACCTTTACGAGAAATCTCGCCCGCGCTCGCTTACGGCTGGAATTTAAATGGTCGTGTGAGACCTCGATGTGCATTATGAATTTGTTTAGCAATCGTAAGTAGTGCAATCTAGCCATGTACAAGAATGAAACTGCATGAAGATCGTTCCAGTAGGTTATTTTTGGACGGAACAGCGGCGCGCGCAGGACTCGGACCGAAGCGTCTGTCATTATAATATTGTAATTTGCAAATGAAACCATGCTCATACAACATAACTCCAATATTCTACGTACAAGGTGATTTGGGTAGATGAGTAAATCCCTCGAGATAATAAAAACCTACTCATGATAAATTTTTGTTCTGGTCCCTTGGACTTTAATACAAGAGGTTTGACTGTACACATCCATATTCACAAAAGCAAAACGCAAAGGCAACGAAATGCATACTACGACCACCGTTCGCCTCTTAAAATTTTGATTCTAAAAACTTAATGTGCTGAATACGAACCCACGAATGCAAGCAGCAATGATAGGTTAAGAGTGTTGAGGCGTACTACTACATCCGTCAGTTTGCCAATACTTTGGACGTACTATTTATAGTACGGTCGTCATGTAAAGGTTAGCGGAGAGAAGGAAGAGAAATGAAACAACTATTGCTTGCCGTGTCTTAAAAACACTGGTATCATCTTCATATACGATTCTCGCTCCTCCCGCGTCTGGGCCTCACTAATTAATATCGGTTATCGTAAACTCATATCTCGTAACAGTCCGATATCTCAGATTTTCCTGACATCGATCCATATATGATATCAATAGAGTATTGCTGCAACACTAATGTTTAGCGCCTTCCACTTTCCAAGATAATTAAACTACAATATTATGGACAAACACTCTTCACTCACCAATGATCACACTTCCTGTTTTTGCTCCCCCAAGGAGTGCCTCCTTGTACTTTTTGAGCGACTCATCATTCTCATCTTGTGCAAGCATCTCATCAATCGTCTTCTGTGGTGGAGGCTTGTAATTCTTGTCTGACTCCTCTTCAGCCTCCACTTCAGGTACAGACTCTTTGTCTCCAGACATCTCTCTCTATCAAAATAACTGGAGGTACCAGTACTGTACAACCAGGCAACTTAATATTCCCACTGTCAATGGCCTGCCAGATTTAAAAAGAAGACAGTTTTCTAGAGTGAAAGCCTAAGAGTATGACATGTCTAATGGTGTTTTAAATTGCAATTCAATATTGTCCCATTTGAGCACTTGCTTTCAGATGACTCTAACACCTATGTAGATGCAGAAGGCTATGGTTCTTTCCATGCAATGGTATTAGGGACAATTGAAAAACTGGAACTTGTGGGACATACCTGTGAGTGGTGAATTCAACTAAAAAATAAATAGTAAAACTCAGCACTTATATAAAAAGGTCCATTGAAACGATAAGGGAAAAAAAAAATCCTTTTCCCTCATTGTTTCAATGGACCTTTTTATATAAGTGCTGCTTATAGGTCTATGACCACTCCAATCTCTAAAAATTAAATAGGTTTAGTCTTGGCTCACAATTATTTTCAAAGATATATGATCATTGTCTCTCATGAAGTTCATGTAACTAAGGTTCTAAAATGCACTAATATATTAAAGATATATGAGCAAACCTTTCGAGCATGTATTGAATCTTGACCTCCCAACCCAAGGGTTAAAGGTTGTATTGAAAATATGATGCTATCAATCCTTGACATCCATAGAATGACTAATTCTATGCTGGTCACCCATTTGTCTAAAACCATGATTATTAATTTTCAGGGATTCTAGCCACTTCCTGAAATAACTTGCGACTATCCTAAAAAAAAAAAAAGAGGCTCCAGGAGGATGGCTTTTAGTCTGCCTCATCCTCCTGAGTCCAATGCTATCTTAGGCTACTTAAACTTTGATCAGTCTCAGCCTAAGCTACAAGCACAAACTGAAGCTATGAAAGCTTGAGACAAAGATTGTCAAAATAAAAAATTCCAAGTGTCCAAAATAGTAACAACCAGTGGCATAGCCAGGATTTCATAATAAAAAAAAAAAGAGGGAGGGGGGGGGAGGGGGGCTTGAACTTCTGCAACAACTACTCCACAGCATTGACAGAAGCTTTCTCCAAGGGTGGAGGTGGGGCAGGAAGCACTCAGGCCCTCTCAAAAGTAATTCCTTAGGCTTTCATCAGTTTCCTGTGCATACATTTAGACCAGAGTAGGGGGTACCCCTTCACTATGTCACTGGTTGCATCTAGCAGCTTTTAAGAGTTTTATAGAGCAAGTGTGCATAGAAATGGAGTCAGTTTTTTGCATTTATAGTTATAAATAGCATGTAGGCTTAATTAGTGTTAAGTTCCATGATATTAGCACCACACCAATGCAAGGCACTCTTTGGATCATACTGCACAAAGGTCTCTAAAGTTGATTTTACATTAAACATGAACATTAAAAGAGCACCTACAGCAGAGAGAGGCATGTCAGTAATATAAAGAAGAAACAGAGGGCCAAGTATAGATCCTTTAATGTGAATGTGAGAGATGATTTTGAGAAAAACTTCTTGTTTCCTGCTAATCAAGGATTGTATCCAATGTAATGTAAACTTTTATTCCAATACATATATTGCAATTTCATCAGCTCATGTAATATCTAAAAAAATTCATACTCAAACCAATGGGATAGAAATTACTATGAATGCATATTACTGCAGGAACACATCACTCCACCCCAAAAATGATTCAGTTGGTCAAGAGGACATCTCATGTCTTTCCAGGAAGACATTTTGAACATAGACAATCAGATCTACCACAGTTCTTTTTATGTACTGAGAAGAATAATAGTAATGAATCAGGGATAATTCCAGAGAAATGTTCAAAGTCACTCACTTGGTTTGGAAAAACTAATGTTATGATGAAGCCTACACTATAATCAAAGGTGTTGGCCAAACTTTGTAGCAAATAATGAGAGTTGTAGGAAAAAATGTAAAGCTTGATGAATTCATATTTAGACACTGTAACAATGAAAATGCAATTAGGAAATTTCTCAAGCACATTTTTCATTGAGCATAGCATAGTGAACAATGAAGGTATTTATTCAAAAAGCATAAGATATTGTGGTGGTTATAGTTTTACCTAATGATGTCAAAGTTGGGAAGAAGGGAAGAAGTTGGAAGCATGAAGGGAACATCTTGACGGGATGGTGGTGGTGGAGGGAAGGGGAAGACCTTTTTCTATGGGAAGATGATGTCCAAAGTTTAAAAAGGCATTTTTGGAGGAGCAATAACATTGACATTGCAGGTTTTGAATGCATGACTTGGTTGTAGAGGAGGGAGAGGGGAACGACTTTTCGTCGACGACTGAAAGTCGTCGAGGAAGTGGGAGAAAGCACGTTGCGGATTGAACTCCCAAGCTAGCTGCTGTGTGGCCGATGGCCGATGATGTGGACATCATCGGCTTATGCCAACGATCGGAATTTTATTGAAAATAGGAAATCCGAGGCTACCCACGGGCAGAATGAGTTCATACTATAGCGAGAGACCTAACGTTAGCCTACGCTTATCTTCCGAGCTTACGACTCGTGCGAAGTTGCGCCATTGCACCATGCCCTGTTGTTCCACTATGGAGGGGGACATGATGATAATGCGCAACGCAACTGCGCGCTTCGTGTCCACGTGAAAATGCCAACCGGAAAAGTAACGGAGGAGATTCCTGAATCGGTCATTCGCCAATCCCCGTGTGAGACTTCTCGTTTCAGAAATCTCTTGTCGGCAAATGTGTACTAGACATTCGTTTCGATTCGACTCGCGGAGCATGAGCCTAATTTAAGGCTAGGGTGCTAATCCTAGCTTTATGTCCACGCCAAATATATTGGCTAACGTTAGGCAGTCATAGGGTTCGAATGATAAGGAAGAGGCCCCTACTCCGAAGTTGCAAGTCTCGGACTTGCGTGTTGATGGGTTACATTAACGCGCATTATTGGCCCTCTTTCTTACCCTTTTTATTGTTATTCATAGGCCTAGGGGCTATTACCATTTTCTGCAGTCCACTTTTCTTTAACTCGTTGCAATTTTTGGCACTTGTCCATGCTCTCTTGCAGGTCGAAATAGAGCAGACAATAATAGCTAAGGAATTTAGAGGGCGTAATGAGTGGACCATCTATTCCCAGCCCTGCAACCACCCCAATAGAAGAAGAAAGGGGATACAGCATCACAACACCGGATTCAGGGCTTGAGGAGTTCTACAATTTGCCACCTGAGGAGCAAGCACAACATAGGGAGGAATGGCAACAGGAACTTGTCAAGACTGAAGAGGAAATCCACACCTTGAGGCAGGTCTTAGCTTCAAAGATGAGGAGAGCTCATGAACTCAAGCGGAAACTTGGCATTACCCCTTGGAAGGAATTCTCTGATGATTGGCAACAAGGGATTCAAAACTTCCGGGAATCACAGGCATTTCAGAAGTCAACAGAAGCGTTGAAAACAGCCGTGGAGAAGACGTCCACAACGCTAGGAGGCCTGGGATCTGCCATTACTCAGAAGCTGGGTGACCTTAAGGGTTCCACAACTTTCAGAAGCTTTGAAGAAAAAGTGTCTGGTGCTGTTGGTGCAGTCAAGAGCCGTGTGACGACCAGCCGGTCCACATCTGCCCAGGACTTTGATACAGCTCTACAAGAGTCTGAGGAGGCTAAGCAAGATGATGTTGTGCTGAATCAGGATCAGCTGCCAGCTAGCCAACATACAAACAAGCAGCTGCCACAGGCAAAGAAGGCATAACCTGTCAGGGCTTGGTACAATCCTGCTGACCTTACTAATGCCCTCTATTGGAAAATACATCTTTTGTACATTCCCCGCTTTCAAAATGTTCCCTTTGAATCTGGAGTTGCCTTATGGATGAGAAATGTCTACATGTGTATTTCATTAAGGCCTATGTGATTGAGTTCAGTTTACATTCGGTTAGCTTCCTATGTCTGCTTTTGCTTTATTATGCAGCAAGATGGAGTGTCAGTCCAGTATTTGTTGGTTGTTCTTGAAGGCTTGTCTTTGTCTTTGTAACAGAGCAGCCATCCAAACTTGGTATGTCCTTCTGGAAGCACTTATCATTTGATCTTGTTTCTGAATATCTGGTTGGATCTTTTCTGAACAAGAATATTCTTGGATTAAAAATCATAAGAATTTTGCATGAATACAATTTCTCAATGTTATATTTATGTGTTGAAAATGCTTGGGTTGAGGATAAAATAAAAGCTTATCAAAATTAAGGTGTCCTTTGACAAGGGGAATGGGTAGGTCTACAAGATATCAGGCCTACACATGACTTACATTCATTCTTTCCCAATTATTCATAAGTTATGAATTATTAACAAAAAATAATTCAACTGACATACTTCACAGACTCCATGGGTATAACAAGTTGAGCAAGGGACAACCACTACGAGCAGCTTTAGACCGCCGCGTACTGGTGTGCAGGAAAGGCAGGGAAGAGTAAAGTGTTTCTACGTGAATGCACACCGCTTACGTAATGAAATAGACGAGTTCAGGGGGAGGGCACTGGACAACGATTTCGATGTCATCGGAATAACGGAGACTTGGGGTGGTTCTCACAAGGAATTCGAGATTGAAGGGTACGACATCTTGCGGAAGGATAGGCTCGGTAGAAAAGGGGGGGGGGAGTCATGTACGCTAAAACGTTACTGGGCGTTCGCGTCAGAGACCTCACCTCTGTTAACTGTGGAGCAATCGAACAGTTGTGGTGTGAGATCGGTGGGGCAACTGGGAGCCCCAAACTCTTCTCTCGAAGATGGAGCTGCTTATTTTGCACTCATGCGTAGGATCAGCGAGATCTCGAAGCAGTTATTGCTCTTTGGAGATTTTAACATGCCTAACATACACATTGTAGATTGGTCGGTGCCGCGATGGGGGAGCGAAAGGGATAGGGAATTTCTCGTTGCGGTTCGGGATGCTCTTCTCGTTCAGTACCTGGAAGAACCGACTCGCGAGGAAGCTTTATTGGATTTAGTTTTCGCGACGAACGACGATCTGACACTAGGCGTTAAAGTACAGGATAACTTGGGAGATTCGGACCATTGCGCGTTCACATGGAATATCAAGCGTACGAAGAGTAACGCCAAACCGACGAAGATTTCGTACAACTATAAGAAGGCTAATTTCGAGACTACGTGAATGCGTTTCAGGCATCGACTGGGAGGGAAGGTTCCGTGGGCTGACGGTAGAGGAGCAATGGCTCAAAACATTGCAGGGCTTTATGGAGGAATGCATCCCCAAGAAATCCATAAAATCGCTCAGGCAACCGGTCTGGCTTACTAGTAAAATCAAAGCACTCATCAGGGATGAAAAGCGGAAATGGGATACGTACAAGCGCACGAGAGATAGAACGGACTATAAGGAATATAGGACCATCACGCAGACGTTGAAGCGGGAAATTAGATCTGCGAGACGGGAGGTCGAGGAACGGCTGGCTAGCGATGCTAAGAAAAACCCTAAGGCTTTTTATCGGTATGCTAGTGGTAGGTGTCAACAGTCGATCGAGCCTCTAATGAACGAGACAATCAAGACGATCAAGAGTATGATAGGGATGTTAAAGGTGACCGGCCCCGATGGGATTCCTGCTCGAGTCATCAAGGAAACCGCGAGAGAAATATCGATTCCGCTAATAATTATATTTGAAAGCAGCTTTTCGCGCGGGGAAGTACCTAAGGACTAGCGAACGTCGTACCGATCTTTAAGTAGGGCGAAAAGAGTAATTCAGGGAATTACAGGCCGGTAAGTCTCACGAGTATTCCGGGGAAGATCATGGAGAGCATCCTAAGGGACCACCTCTTGGATTTCCTCGAAGGAAACGCGCTCATTCGGGACTCTCAACACGGCTTT